TGAAATCAACACAAGATATATGGATTTTAGTTTGTATTTGCACATATGAGTTTTATTTCAGATCACGTGTCAAAAAACGAAATAAACCTGTTGTCTTATGAGTGTCAGGCAGCGACTTCTTTAAATATACAGTACTCTTCAGCAGTCAAGCTCCCAGATGGTTTTCCTTGGACCTTCTTAAAGTTTTGATGACTTCGTGCTGAGATCAGCATTTCCTCATTCCTTTTTTGTATTGGTTTCTTTTTAACCATTAATAAGATGAATATTCAATTTCTTGACAAGTCAGGGTTAAGAATGTTCTGCTATGAGCAGGGGACTTGATATTAGAGAGAAACACTTCCTTGGTCTTTGCTGCTAAATCAAAGTACTCACATGAAATATAGTTGAATTAAATGTTTTGTAGTTTATTCTTTCCTAGTTGGCAACAAATAATGGCGCTCTAAGGTCAGACTTGCAAAGAAGTGCAGTGCAGCATGTGGCAAGTGCCTCTGTTTATTTAGGAATGTCCACACATGTGGTGTAGAGGATAATCTATAGGACAAATTTAAAAATCGAGACTTACAACACTTAGTTGTTTTGTGTCAAATAGAAAAACAATGTCAGCAGTGCAAAGGGCATACAATGTTTTAAGTAAGTAAAGGTTGCCTTTGCCTAGGAGCCCTACATATTATCACTTGCTCTTCCCCAGCACATGGCATTTGAGCAAACTCATCTATTGTTTGGCATTTGGCATAAGGATATGAAATAACATAGAATATGAGGATCATGAGGTATGAGTTTCTCGTGTCAAGGTACTAAGAGCAAGGCTAAACTTCTACACCCATGTTAGTTGTTTATTAACTTGTAAAACTGCCACAGGTACAGACACCATCTTTTATCCAAACTGTCTGCACTTCCAAATTTATCTAACCTTATTCACTGTAACTAAATGTACCCAGTTAAAATAATAACAACATTCTGGTTAAAGAAACTGTCATGAAATTATACAATGGATGCTCAAGAAATTTTTTTATTTATATCAGATCGCCACCAAACACTACCTCGCAAACAAAACAACAGACACACAGTTGTGTGTGACACAACAAAACTGCAAGTCGTGTCGTTTTTCTCAGGCTGAAAGCCAACACAAGTTGGTTTGTCTTTCTAAAGGTGTGAATCTGCTCATGAAGTCATGTGAGAAAAAGTAAAAGTAAAATTAAGACACAAAGATTACACCTGAGTGACAGCACTTAAGTATGGTTAGTTTTAACTGCTGATTCTTTAAAATTATACGCCATCTTAATGATAAAGTGCAGTGAATCAAGTCAGTCAAAAGACAAAGTAAACACAAACTAGCACAAGCTTGAGAAAAACATTACTTACAGATCTACTGTGAAGGCAATTAAAAAAAAAACAGCAAAAGGATGGATTAAAATGTGTACTCTGAAGAATGTAAACATTGACAAGGCATTGTAATGATTAAACATTCACTGATATGGGAGGGAAAAAAGGCCTGCATGCATCATAGTTATGCCACTTTGCTTGTCTTCAAAACAGCACAGTTTACAAAAAAAAAACCTAATGGGAAACTTTGAAATGTGACACAATCTTAGTACCAACGGTGTAACTGTAGAACACATTTTAAGCACCTTTTGGTATTTTCACAATAGAAAAAAATCTGAACACAGATCTGAAATCTTTTTTTCTTTTAAGAGTAAAGCATGCATGCACATGTATTCCCAGATGACCTATGTATTATAATTCCATTAGATAGCTACAACTGAAACTACTAAGGAAATGTTCATTCAAGACAGGAGATTTAATCTAAGACTTTTCTATATTACTAAATATTTTGTTGTGCTTGGTAAACCTGTGTAACCCAATAATGAGTTCTGAAAAACAGAAGGAAAGGTGAATACATTATACATTTCACAGATAGTTGTATTGAAAACTAAGGATTAGTTTGGGAGATTGTTTCTGGGAGTACTCGCATTTAGTTAGAAAGAAATGTAATTTTCTTGCATAATCAGGCACACGTAAGCGCTTCAATAGCAAAACATCCCCTCTTGATTGCCAACTTTTTGTAACACCTTCTGAGAGCATTCGTTTACATCCCGCCCTAAACTCCACACCACAGGTACAGTACCTACTGAGCAGTGAGCTTTCATTTTTCTTTTCACTTTCTGGCCCCAATACAGCTCCTTTTTTATAGTCTGGAGAAAGTTCTTCACAATCCAGGTCAAAAAACTAATAGTTTTACTGTTTACTGTACTCTGACATATATATTCAAAGGTATAGAAATAATAAACAAAACAATGTAAACAACTGCAATCAAAAGCATAGTATTGTATTGTAACTGACAATTGGTTGTAACTTGAGGTACTATGATTGAAATAACAGAGTTTTCTTTTTAGTGTAAATGGTGTTTTATGTCTAAAATAATTAGTTTAACAAGTGTAAGCAGACAGAAAAAGGACTATTTTTGTGTCATTGGTTATTGATATTTGGTTACATACCTATATCTACGAGAGCACATGTTTAACCACAGCTCAGAAAGAGAAAATTTGGCACATAAGATCAGTCAAAGCTATTGTGCTTCGTACAAAAATACTTCACGCAGAGATTTAACTCAGCGTTCAATCAGGACGAAGAATATAGTTTGAAGCATTATCTGTTTAACAGTTAGAAAAATATGGAATAAAATAATCTGCTTATCTTTTATAATACATGCAAATGTATTGCACAGCTGAAATGTTAAACAGAATAACCACGTACAGAAGGAAAAGTCTCCACGGAGTGCAACTTTTGCTGTTACATACTTTGATGAGAGTCGGTATGTCAAGTTTCATTAAAACAAACAAACAAAAAAAGAGCAAAAGCCTCGGCCATAAGGGGGAAAATCCACCTGCACCAACAGCTAGAACTTCCGTTGTTTTGGGCATCATTAAATTAATAACACAACATACTGTAGCTGCAGTTGTTTCTTAAGGCAACCATTAGGAGGATCCAAGTATCTACAAAGGTTAAGTTTTGTGCCCAGATCGCTGATGAATATCCGAGACCGCAATACACCTATCAACATGGGGCGAGGAAGATGAACATTAGGTTAATAAAGTAATATAGTGTAGTGTAGTGTTTCCCAGTCTATGTGAGCTTTGGTCACTAACTGTGGCTACCTCAACAGCTTACAATAACGAGCAATCTAGTGTCAGAAATAACTGTTGGTCAGTAAAATGAAATGATTTTCTCTAGAGGAGGCTGCAGCTTCCAAAGGGATTTTTAGTCTTCTTGGTTCTTTGCTTGTTAGGACGCAAAGTGATGACTTCTCTGCCGTTGCTGGAGCTCTGGTTGCAGACATTACTACTTGTTGTATTAAAAACACCTTTGGGAAAAAAAAAAAACAGAAAGAATGAGTAAAGAAACAAAAACAAAGCAAAACACCAGAGCTTAAATTGTAATACGGAAAAAGATTTCTTACCTATTTTATTGCTTGTTGTGTGGACCACCTCCGTCTCCTCTGCTGTTTGCTGTTTGAGTCGCTGTAGATACTTCTCAGCTAAATACTTAAAAACTAAATGAAGACAACAAGCAGAAATGTTATGACAGTAACATTAAGAAACAAGCCATTTTACTTGCATCTGATCAGTTGTTCCGATTTTCAGTAACCTACCCTCATTCACATTTAGGTCCTCTTTCACTGAAGCGCGATAAAATCTTAGCTTAAGCCTCTTAGCCAATGCTTCTGCCTCCTCACTGCAGTACAAGTGAAGGAAATACAGCACTTCTTAATTTTCTGGTAAATTAACAGACTTATTTTCAATAAACAGTCAGCACTCTTTTATTCAACAGTTAATTACTTTTCTGTACCACAGAATCCTTACTTTTTTATAACAGTCTCTTCCAGGAGGTCAATTTTGTTTTGCACAAGAACTGTGGGAATATCTCCAACTTCTGCTTCCACCTTCTCCTTCCAGCTGTCAATAGCCTGAAATGAGTCCCGGTCTGTGGTGGAGAAGACAAGCACACATGCCTGCGCACCTGCAAAGTAAGATCACATACACAAACAGTTCACGTTCTCAAGCTGTTACATCTTGTAAAAAAAGCATGTTGCATAATTCATTGTCCGAGAGCAAAAACACAGATTGGATTTAAGAATAAGCCCTCTAGGAAATATATATGTATATATATACACTAGTGCGTACACTTTGGTTGAAAGCCTAGAAATACGGGAAAAGCAAAAGTTATTTGTTGCAGAGGTGCAATCTTACCGCGGTAATAGGCCTTAGTGATGGCATCAAACTCCTCCTGCCCAGCAGTGTCCCAAAGCATTAGTCGGACATCTTCATCATTTACACTAAAACGATGAGAAAAAAAATTGACTAGTTACATATTCATCCATCTATAATATCCTATTATATTCTACTCAGCACACTCTACTTGTTTTTCTATGTTAATAGACAATCACAAAAACTACAATTTTAAGACATTTTGAATAAAACATTTTCTACAATAAACAAAAGTAATAATATATATACCGTAATTGTCGGGCTATAAGCCGCTACTTTTTGCACAAGCTTTGAACCCTGCGGCTTTTAGTCAGGTGCGGCTTTTCTATGGATTGTCCATGATTTTTATGATATCGTAAGACGATTTGTTTTGTTTGTTCCGCTGTTGTACGGCACTACGTTGCCTGGCG